TTGGAACAAGTCCTATATAATTAGGTAACATCATCAGAAAAGACCGAGACACCCTCAACCTGGATTCAAATAATCCAAAACGCTATAACCTTCCTAAATGACGCTTCTGGGACTCACACCTCCTCTTGTTTCCTCTGCGCTTCCCTTCAGAGGCCTCTACTGCCGGCAGTTCCAATTAATCTCAATACCATTATGACCAAGATAACGGACGCTGCTTGCCAGACTCCTCAACTCTCAGTCCCCCTATGGGACTCCAATCACAGCTGCCCCTGCTAGCAAACTGACGTCCTTGCCAGCTTTCATTCCTGCACTTCTAACATTTCGGTTAAGGAATAGATATCTCCTTAGAAAAAACCTCTGTCTTTAGCGTCATTACAAAGACAGGTCACCTCCTGGCACAGACCGCTCTCCAAAACGGGCAGGCTCTGGACCTGTTAACGTCTGATAAGGGGGGCACCTGTCTGTATCTCAGGGAAGAATGTTATTACTAGTAAAAGCGGGGGCTCCAACTCTCCGCTGACATGGTTTCAAAATCCTGTAGTGTCACGGCTCCTCCCACTCTTGGGGCCAATATTAATGATACCCTTATTTTTTCTTTTCACTCCTTGCCTCCTAAATTTCACACAGGCTCGCGTTCGGGAAATGTCTCGGACCACCTTGAACCAACTCCTTCTCCACCTGTATTCTCGCATCCCTGCAGAAGACCCTCATCACCAGGCCTGAGCCTCTCTCTTGGTCTTCGCCCCCTTCCAGCAGGAAGTAGCCAAAGAAAGCACCATGGCCCCTTTTCCTATCAACAAAAGGCTGGTATGAAAGGTCCATGCAGGAGGCTGGAATGCAAAAACCCACCAGGTAGCCCACCTGGGATCAGGAATGCTGAAGCCTGCCTGGAGGATTCAGACAATGAACCTCCCCCGCCCTACAAATCTTTTCTCAGACAAAGAAACTCCCCCCCCACTACAAAATTTTTCCCGCCATACTGTTGTAGAGCAGCCCCGATATTGAGCGGATTGCCTGGCTGTGGGTCCTCACCCGCACGCTTAAAAGAGACTTATTAATACTCCAATACTGACATACAAAAAAGGTTAATAAAAGGTTTATTTACAAGGGAAAAGGAAATAAGGAAAATGTACAACTCAGGGAGAAAATAGGGAAATAAAGTCTTTAATGTGTCCTACCCGATCCATCGACCTGGAAACCCAAAGGCACTTTCAAAGCTGGCTGGACACTGCGAGCTGGTGGAGAGCCAAAATGGGGGACCCCTGCAAAGCCCACGTGTCTGCCTTATATCAACCTGGCTGCTTAACCCCACCCTCAGGTCCCAGCCACCTTCCCTTTGGTGGGGATGGGATTTGGAGTTCCCAGTGTCTTTGGCTTTGGCCTGGGGTGAGGGTGGAGTCCACAAAGCCTGTATGGAATTAGCTTTAGGACATCCTTTTCCCCCTAACAATACCAACCCTGTTTCCCACCTGACCTCTTCTCACCCTATAAAAGCCTGCCTCCCCCTGACAACGTACACAGCTTCACTGACCCCCCACCTTGGGTCCCTGAGGTCCGCCCTGGGCACAATAAATTTTCCCTCCTTTGAGAAATTTAGCCTGGCTCTCCTTTTCTTTACTGCGCCAAACCTTTCAGGAGGGAAGAGAGGAGACTGGGCCACCACTGGAACCAGCAGCTTCTGAGCCTGAGTAGCTGGACACCCTTGGCTGGGTTGTTCCTCAGCTCTTCTGCAGGTCAGCCACCCTGACAGACCCCCTAGGGCATTCAGATCAGCACCAAGCAAAGCACCTGACCCAGGATCCAGCCAGGGGCTCTAGAACCCCAGTCACTGCCTGGCTTTGCCCACCCGACCAGCCCCTCAGCCTCTGCAGAAGTACTTTCTTTTACAAATACCTATTGTGTGATTATCAGAAATGCCTCTTCCATCCTGGGCTATCAGTATGGCAAGGGACTATGCTGCCTGCCCCCAGCACCCAGGCTTGCAGCCTCCCTGCCTGCTGAGCTGCTCCCCTGCTTAAGCATTAAAGGCCTGTCAGATCTACCTAGGGCTCCAAATTCCTTTCCCCCTCCTGAATAACAATGAACCTGGCTGGTGCTGCCAGTTTCAGGACTTCTCCCAAATCTATCTGGCCCCGCCCCCAGGCAGTTACTTTCTGAGTTGACACCAGGGAAAGGAAACCACATGCAGGAGCCCGGAAGTGGAGCTGCAGGGGGACTAGCAGCGATTTTGTTGCTGACTGCTCCATGAGGACGGGAGGTTGAAGAAGTCCAGGCCAAGGTTTGCTCTGGGGTGGAATGTGAGTTCCTTGTCTGTGTGTCTGTGGGTGTGTGTGCACTCACAGGGGTATTTGTTCCTGCATGTGCATGTGTGTGGTCCATAGCAATAAGGAGCTCACTGGAATCTGTGAAAGGTCAGGGCTTTGCCTTCTAGCTCTCTCCCACTGCTTTCTCTTTCCCAGGCACAGTGTCACATCTCAGATCAGTGTGTGAGGTCAGCAAGGGCAGGCACTTGGGGTTCAGGAAGGGCATCCAGGAGCACAACCCCAGGCATAAAGAAGGCTGGTGCAGCCCCTGGGAGAAATCACCTCCATGGGAGAGCAGTCTGCAGAGACATTTTCTAGGCTCTGAGGGCTAGTCCCGAAAATAGTGGGAAATAATCTGTCCAGTTCCTTATGTTGGATCTGTTCTTAGTCCCTGTGAGTGCAAAGGAAATGTCTCTCACTTCCTCCCTCAGCACCTCCCCACACATACCCAGCAAGGGGAGGGCAGCAGGGCTGGGAGCCTGAGCAGCTGCCACTGTAGGGGAAGGGCAGACCCTCTGCTCTGGTCCCTGCTCCTCTGTCTCCAGCTCTCAGTCCTCACTGGTGGACACTGGGGGGTCCAGGACAGGAGCTCACAACGTACAGACCTTGCCCTCTGCTTCCTGCCTCCCCACATCCTGGTTCTGCAAATTCCCTCTGCCTCAGGCACCCTGACCTTGTCCTGGGAGACCTGTCCTCCCCTGGAGGGAGACAGTCACCTCCCTTGTGCCCAGGGCCTCTGCTCCCAGCACCAACACCTTCTCTTGCCACCCTCTGAGGCTCTCCTGCTTTCAGTGTGGTCTATATGGAAATGTGACTAACCTGGAGACCCTTTTACTCCAAGGGTCTTAGTAGGGTCCAGAGAACCAGACAAGGGGGTGTGAACAGAGTCAAGTGTGATTGACCCCATGGACTCTGTTTGCCAACCATTCACCTCAGTGTTGGTCCCAGGACAAAGAAGGAACTCATAACTTGGGGCTGACTCCTGTTGAAGCTCATCAGACATGGAGAGAGTTTCACTCTTCTCCATGAGTCCCCTCCTTTTTTTTTTTAAAGGTTTATTTATTTATGCATACAAGAACGGGGGTACAGGCCAGAGGTAGGTGGGGCTCGGTTGAGAGGATTCAGCAGAGACAGAGTAGGGAGCAGAACATGCAGATTGACTGAAATACACTGCTGAGGGGAGCTGCGGGTGAGATAGGAGAGGTCTGCTGCACCATGTGGGTAGCTCCTTGGCTGTCCTGGGGTGGAACTCATATTGCAGAGGCTGCAGATAGCTTCACAGTGCTGTCCTTAACCCCTTGCGCCATTAGTGTCCTTACATAATTTCTGTTCTCTCATACAACTTTTGTGAGCTAACCTGTCTGCTTCTCTATCTCTGCTAGCACCTGATACAGGGCACTTTCTGCCAAGATGGAATGATTTTACCTGTCTAGCCCGGGGGCATTGGCAGACTTTAAGCACTGAATTATGGCTGATGGGACTGAAACATTGAATTCAAATGTTATTATTGAAATTTAATCTAAATTAAGGTGGGCAGGGCCTCTCCTGGTGGTGCTGTGGTTGAGCGCAGCGCTGTGAAGCTGTCCACAGCCTCTGCAGCACTGGTTCGATCTCAGCCAGCCGACAAAGGTCCCACATGGCATGGCAGACCGCTCCTGTTGCTCCCGCTGCTCCCCTCAGCAGTATATTTTGTCAGTCTGCCTTTTCTGTTCCCTGCTCTGTCTCTTGTGAATCCTCTTACCCTCCCACACGTCAGGCCTGCACCCCGGTTCTTGTATAAAAAAATAAATAAATTAAAAAAAATAGATAAATAAATAAATTAAGGTGGGCAAATGTGACAGTCATCACCATATTCTACAACACAGGGACATATGGGGCATCTTTCAAATTGCAATCCACTTATCTCTCCAGAGACAAGACTTCAACACCTGCGCAGGCTCAGAGGCTCAGGTGAGGCTTCTGTCCTTCACTCTGGGATATCCTGGCAGATTCATCTCTGCCTGTAGATACGTTGTAGAACTTTTAGGAAGAGCCATGGCCTCATCCCCAGTGATGAGGAGGATGAGGAAGGAAGCATGTGCTCCATCTGCCTGGAGCTGATGACAGAGCCCATGAAATCAACTGTGGACACAGCTTCTGCCACTAGTGCCCCTCCTTCACACAGCAGAGGCAGGGGCAGTGGTCACAGGACAGACCCTGTCTTGAGCTTGTTTTTGTCTGCCTGCTGCTGTGTGGGGATAGTTGATCCCCTGTGGCATTCCCTAGTCTCCTTCCCAGGCCTTTGACAAGACAAACTCAGGATGAGCTGTACCAGGTCCAGAGTCATCTCCAAGACAGTGAGGGTGGAGGCAGATGCCAGGAGTCATCATGGGAACAGGGACCTCTGTCTGTGAATCTGATGCCTCAAGAGGGGCCTCCCCTTCCCCATGCGGGGCCTGCCCCACGGCTATGTCAGGTCACAATGAGATTTAATTTGTCCCCTCTGCTGTTGCTCTGAAGGAAGGGTGCTGTTCCTACCAGGCCCTCCAGTCAGGATTCCTGAGTGTAAAACCTCTGGCATTTTGACAAGTCTCCTCCCTCATCTGTCTGGACCCGCCCCCTCATCAGTTTCATTTCTGAGTTGACTCTAGTCAGAGGAACTTCCCTTCCAGGAATCCGGAAGTGGAGCTGCAGAGCGACTCACAGCGATTTTATGACTGACTGCCCTGTGAGGAGGAGTGCAAAGTCCAGGCAAAGGTTTGCTCTGGGTTGGACTGTGATTTTTTTTTTTTTTTTTTTGTGTGTGTGTGTGTGTGTGTGTGGTGGGAATGGGTGGTGGGTGGCAATAAGGAGCTCACCAAATGTGAAAATATAAAGGGAGGGAGACGGTCACCTCCCTTGTGCCCAGGGACACAAGGGAGGCCATGGCTCTTCCTAAAACTTCTAAAGAGTATCTATAGGCAGAGAAAAATAACCAGGTTTTTCCAGAGTGAAGGACAGAAGGACCTGACCCTCTGAGTCGGCACAGGTGTTGAAGTCTTCTCTCTGGAGAAGATTTGCAACTCTCTCGAGCTCTCCTGCCTGGTGGGGTCTCCATGGAAACGGGACTAACCTTTTTCTTAGAGGGTTTTAGTGGGGTCTGGAGACTAACATGGGGGTGTGAGGACAGTCAAGTGGGACTGACCCCATGGACTCTGTTTGCCAACATTCAGGTCAGTGTTGCTGGCAGAACATAGAAGTCACTCGGGGCTGACTCCTCCTGAAGCTCTTTAGACACAGAGAGAGTTTCACTCTCCCTCCCTGAGTTCTCTTCTCTCATACAACTTTTGTGAGCAAACCTGTCTGCTTCTCTATCTCTACGAGTACCTGCTCCAAGAACATCTCCTGCCATGGTGGAATGTTCTGTGCCTGTGTATGGGGGAATTGGCAGATATTAAGCATTGAATTATGCTGGTGGGACAGAAACACTGAACTTAAGTTTTATTGAATTTTAATCAATGTAAACTGAATGGGGCAAACATGACAGGGACCGCCCTATTCTACCACACAGGGACAGGTGAGGCATCTTTCAAATTCTAATCCGTTATATCTCCAGAAAGAGGATTTCAACACCTGTGCAGGCTCAGAATCTCAGGTGAGGCTTCTGTCCATCACTCTGGAAAGTCCTGGCTGATACACCTCTGCCTATAGATACTTAGCAGAACTTTGAGGAAGAGCCATGGCCTCATCGCCAGCGATCAGGAAGATGAGGGAGGAAGCCACGTGCTCCATCTGCCAGCAGCTGATGAAGGAGCCCATGAGCGTCAACTGTGGGCACAGCTTCTGCCGCCAGTGCATAGACAATATCACTGGGCAGCAAAATCTTGTGATATCTTTTATTTGGAGGGCTCGCTGTCCCCTGTGCCAAACATCACTTCAAAGGGAGAGTGTCCGACCCAACAAGCACCTTGAAAACCTCATTGAGCGCATCCAGGAGCTGGAGCGTCAGAGGCTGTGTGAGGAACATGGGGAGTGGCTCTACCTGTTCTGTGAGGACGACGAGCAGCTCATCTGCTTGCTCTGTGAGCGCTCCCCCCAGCACAGAGGACACCGCACGGCTCTAGTGGAGGACGTGTGTTTAGGCTACAAGGTGAGTGAGTGGCCAAACCTTTCAGCAAGTTCTTCCTCTTATGTTGCACATTTTTATTGAAATTACTCTGAACACCAATATTGTGACCATAAAAATGTTGTTTCCATCACGTTATTTTCTGAATAAGAATTTATTATGATCCCGGTGAGTCAGGTCATCATTTTCTTCTTTTTTTCTTTTTTCTTTTTTTTTTTTGCGGTACCCTCACCAGGGGCCGGGGAACAAACCGGCACTGCAGAGGCTGCCGGCAGCCTCGCAGCCCAGCGCTCAACCGCTGCACCCTAGGGGAGGTCTCAGGTCATCATTTTCTATGCTGAACTTTAAGGTTGGGCAGAACCTTTTCTGTAAGAATTTCCTGTAATGAAGTTTCCCTGGACAACAAATTGTGCTCTTTGTCACACCTGCCTTGTTCATGGCCTCACCTCAAAAACCTAATTGGAGACACCACAGCGTTCAAGAGCACAAGAAAGAATCTGAAATCCCAGAGGTCAGAACCAACACCTTCTTGATATCCCAGAGTCCACAAGGAGTAAGAAAAGGAACTCAGGACGCCTGACGTCCCTCAGTGTGGGTGGTGAGGGGGGGCACCAAGGGGTGGGAATTAATGTGTGAGGGGGAGACTACCCTGAAGTGAGTCCTGAAGGACATACACAATATCACCATGGGCAGAGTGTGGGTAACAGACAGGAGCCAGATCAGGTGGTTCACTTGTCACGCGAGCTTGCCTGACCCTCGATGTGGCAGGCAGGAGGTGCGTGAGGGAAAGGCCATTGCGGGCATGGGAAAGGATGTCAGGAAGGAACCTTGGTATCACTCGGAATCCATACCCCTGCCCAGAGCGGCCTGGACACTAGGGATTTATTTGTGGAGGGAAAGATCAGGTTGACATGTAAAAGCACATTCTGCGTGGACAAAATAAACAACAAGGACAAAATCTAAGGATTGGAAATGGCAACAGGTATGAGCATACACTGGGAAGGGGAGTTAGGGTTTAAAAATACTTGGTGCGAGGGATGAAGCCTTGAGAGACATTTCAATCATTTCCTGTGTTTTTGACACAATAGCTTTTAGCATAAGGGTCCCTTTGCTGAGGAGGAATGAAGAAGTGGGATTCCTTCCTCTGAGCCCTTTTGACATTTGAAGTAACATCCCCAGTGTGGAGCTCTGAGTTCCCTCATCCTTGAGGTGCCTGTGTCTTGTGTGAAGGTTCTGGATCCTGTATCAGGGCGTGTCAGCCCTGACCACCACTCAGCGCACTCACCTCCACCTGTAACCCCATGAGCAGTCAGGGCTGTAATGGGGCAGGTCTCATTGCTTCCCACCATGTCATCAAATAGGAGGACCACAAGGTGATGGGCGTAGCCTCAAGAGTCAGACTGCTGAGGTGAAATACTAGGTCAGCCTCTTCCTACATGGTCAACTGTGAGCCACTATGTTCTTGCTTCATGACTTGGTTTCCCATCTGTAAATGGAGAAAAGAACTGCCCCCTCCCACCCGACACACACTCCAGGAGGTTGTCATAAGCTGTAAGGACATTCTCCACGTTGAGTTGAGAATAGCACTGTGCTCATAGCAAAAGCAAATCAGTCTTTTCGTAAATAGTTTCCTGAGCATTATCTTGAGAGTGCTGTGATGTTATGGGTATATTTGTGAGTTTGCAGAGGGCAGGAGGCAATTACTTTATTGTGGATGTCAATGAGCAGTTTAGTAAGCTTCAGATCCCTTCTCTTGAAAATGTGAGAAAAGGGCGCCTTCCTGGTGGTACAGGGATTCAAGTCTCAGTGCTATCAAGCTATCCCAGTCACTAAAGCATGACTTCAGTCCCTGGCCAGGGAGAAACCAACATGGTACAGCAGACCTCTCCTCAGCAGTGTATTTCAGTCAATCTGCCTGTTCTGCTCCCCACTCTGTCTCTGGCGAATCCTGTCACTACCCCCCTGCATCTCTGACCTACACTCCAGTTCGTGTAGGCATAAATGAATAAAAAATAAATCTTTAGTAAAGAAAAAAGAAAGTGTGAGAAACTTTTGAATAAACCCTAGAGATGGATGTGGACAGGAATCACTGTGAGTTGACGTCATGACACTATTCTCCAGGTGATACAGGGTGCCCCCTCATGACCTGGTTCTGTAACTTCAGAGCCATCCTGGGCTCTCTGTTCTGACCAGGGGCAACATGTGAAAAGTTCCTTGTGTATCAAACACTGTGTATTATCTATGACGGGTCCAGCACGTTATTTTACAAAATTTGCTTTTAGATGATTTTTAACCTAATACGATGTGCAGCATTTTCCTAGCTGACTGTAGTGTGGATGTAGTACAATCCTTAGTTCTGCGATGAGCTGGGAATCACATCTCTGCCACCAACCAGTGATGGGCCCTTGGGCAGGTTACTGCTCCCTCCTAAGCCTCCACATCTACAGCACAGAATGATGTTACAATCCAGCAACTGCTCAGGGACTCCTAGGAATGACTTAATATTACTGCCCTCATGTTTCTTCCTCTCAAAGTGTAAGGCTGGGATTCCCTGTAAGTACCTAATGAAGATTTGATATGGATTAGCCAGACCTCACCCAATTTTTCCTGCAGGAGAAGCTCCAAGACATTGTGACAAAACTGAAGGAAACTCAAGACCTCTGTACGAGTGCGAAGTTGTTCACGGCAGAGCAAATAACTGAATGGAAGGTAAGAATTGGAGTTTAGTGATCACAAACTATATTTCATCCTGAATTGATGTACAGGCTATGACTGGGCAAAGTACTCATTGATAGTTTATTCTCATTAAACCAGTACAAATTGCTGAACCCCAAAGAATATGCCAGTTTTAAAAAAATAATTCCATTAGTTGTCTAATCTAGGAGAATTTCCCTCTGCTTTCTTCAGCCTTGCAGGAGTAAAGTGCTAGGCGTCCCATCACCTCAGTCAGGAGAAACAAAGCTGTTGTGCCCCTGACCTTCAACGGGCTTCACATTTTCAATGACTGAAATTACCTCCTGTCTGAAGATCGTGAACTCACCTGTGCACATTTACCAGAGTACAGGGTCAGACCCTCTACCTTCCTGGTTGCAATACCACCCTAAGGGAATAACAGGACCAGTGCAGAAGACCTTCCCATAACTCAAGCTCATGAGGTTGTGATGAGGATAGAGCTCTGCAAGACTTACACACACTTGCACTGTAGACTGTGGGTCTCTAAGACAGTGTCCGTGGCTGACCAGCCTCTGCAGGATCAGAGACACATTCTTTTATGGCTATGGATGTAATCCATCATTTAGTAACCAAATTCCCCAGATGTGTGAGCATTTTGCCTCTTTCAGTTTCTCTTCCTTGACCTTGACCCTGCTTCTATGTGAGTGGATATGAAACTTGACTCGTCCATCCCTCATTTCGAGATCCTTGGAAGTTGGAGGACCTTATTTGGAAATAACACATGAAGATTCCTGACACTGTAGGTGCTACAACTGCCTCTGTCTCCACATTTCTGGAATATTAGGTCATAGGGAGAACTTCTATTGCTACAAACCATATAAGGAAACCATGTCAATGCCAGTGTCCAGCTGTCCCAGGTCTCGTACAAAAAGTTCCTCTTCAGGGCCTCCCTGCTGGCTCAAGGAGATAAGTCTCAGACAATGAAGCTATTGGTAGCCACTGCAGCATGAGTTCAATCGCTGGCCAAGGAGATGACCCACAGGGCCCAGCAGACCTCTCCTGCCTCGCTGGCTGCTCACCTCAGCAGTGTATTTCAGTCAATCTGCCTGTTCTCCCCACTCTGTCTCTGATGAATTCTCTCACCTCTGCACCTCTGGCCTACACCCCAGTTCTTGTATGCATAAATAAATAAAATCATTAAAAAAAATTTCCACTTCATCCTAATCAATACTCCATCTACCATAATATCACAGTCACTAAAGCACTGTTGGAATTGAGAAAGCACAGATATAAATTGCAATTCCATATACCACAATAAAACCTGTGTTACACATAAAGATGAAATATGAATCCTGGTAGGTGCAATAATATGTCTGGAATCTCTTCAGGCTTCCACTATTGAGTATTATAGACTCTCCTATGAGCCTGATGACTTAAATTCAGTATTGGTTATATTCACTATCAGCGTTTAGTTGAAGAAATTCCCAGAACATATATACAGCGTGGTGCTTGCCCACAGTGCTTGGTGTTATCTTCCTAAATGATAAGTTACTTGCTGTTGGCCAAATTCCCTTATTCTCTTGTTTAGCATTCCAGGACCTTCTTTTTCTGTATTGTGGCTGAAGAAAAAGGAAATGTACCAGGTGGCTGCAGTATGATCACCTTTCACATGAGAGTGCAGCCTTTAGGTCATTTCTAGTGTACAGTCCAGTGGCATGAAATGCATTTAGTTGCTTTGCAGCCATCACCATCCTCCATCTGCAGAACTTTTTCAGCATTCAAAATGGAAACTCTACGTCCATGAACAATAACTCCATTGCTTCCTCCTTCCAGCTTGAGGGCCACTGAACTACTTGTTGTTTCTCAATTTGACCAAGGCCCACATATGAGAGGACTCATAGGGTCTTTCTCTTTTGTGCTTTGGCTCATGTCCCTCAGCATGAATCTTCAAGATTCATGTTGGGCACGTGTCACAGTTTGCTTTCCTCCTGTGGGTGAGCAGATTTACACTGTCTCAGTCCCACCTGTGTTTACTGACTCACCAAAGAGGTATGTTTGGTTTGTTTCCCACTTTTCTGCCTACTTTCTTGATTCTAGGAGAACATAGAGCTTCGGAGACAAGAAATCCAGTCTGAGTTTAGGAATCTCCACAACTTCCTCCATGAGGAGGAGAGGGCTTATCTGTGGAGACTGGATAATGAGAAAGAGAAGATGCTGGGGAGACTGCAGGACAGTGAAGCCAGTCTGGACAATCAGAGCCATGAATTGGAGAAGCTTCTCCTGGAAATAGAGAAGAAATGTCAGGGCTCAGCCCAGAATTTATTGCAGGTGAGGGAGGCTGTGAACTTGGAGGAAAGAAAGAACGTGTCTGTTTCTGATCTCTTGAGAAGAGAATGTGGAGGGAGCCTGGGAAGTTTGGCGAGTCCTCTCTGCCTCATTCAATATTTAAAGTAATAAATGTTGAAGGCTATAGCAGCAGCAGCCCTTTTGCCCATTTCTGTCTATGCAAGTGTCCTTTACTCTTCTCTCCCTTTTTATTATAAACCTCCCCTTTGGGAACCAAAGGAAAGATCCATATCAATGTCAGCTGGTGGCCTGTGCAGGTATCCACAGTGGCAGTATGTGAATCAGAAACCACCTTCTCTGGGTCGAATGTAGGTTTCTTGGCCCTATGGAACCACAGAATAACCTTCATCCCATTTATTCACCCTTGTCAGTTTTTCATAACCCTTCTCACCTTCTCTTAAAAATGACTGGTGGTATAGAGTGGGGCAGCCAAAATGAATGATAACCTTCTGAATCACTTATCTTGGTCCATGAACACTTAGGGAACCTCTTTTCAGCTGCCTGAAGCTTCCATCCAGTGAACATAAATAAATGCCTGGCTGGACTCCAGTTGCTATTGCAGGACTGGTGGTTGCACTGTGAGGGTGAGGATGTAGTGTGATAGCGCCGCAGCAAGTGACATCTGCTGCCTTGTCCTCAGTGGCCCAGAGCCAGGGTCTTGGCATTGATTCCCCACTGAGTACCTTTGTCATAAGTGACAAAAGTAATATGGGCTCCTCAGAAGGAAATTGGATCACTGATACCAGAAGGAAATGCAACCTTGCACCTGGCTACTTCCCTAAGGTCACAGGCTAATGTCAGTGCAGACTGCATGACTCCCCACAACCCTGACCAAGTGTGATCACACGTTCACACACACTGAAAGTGAGTATCCTAGGGGACTGGGATGGGAATCTTTCTACCTGGGTATGCGTGGGTGTGTCAGGCTTTGTCACTCTACTTCCTGGGGTGGAGAGTTCATGGCAAGTAACCCCATGTTTCAAGTGACACAAAATACTGATTTTCCCACACTCACATTTGTCTTTATTATTACTAGGATGTGAAAGATGTGAAAGACACATTAAACAGGTGAGTCTGTATGAATGTGGGAGTGTGAGGATGTGGGCAGTTGTGTGGCTACCCAGAGCTGAATGGAATGTCCCCTGTTCCTTGTAGGAATTCAGATGTGAAGCTGAAATTGCCAGAGATCTTCTGTTTGGAGCCTCAAACTGTGTGCCATGCTCCTGAGCTTTACTTTGATGTGAAGAAAATGTTAAGACACTTCCAAGGTGTGTGAAGTCAACAGTTCCCTTCATGATTCATATAAAATACCCCTTTGGTGGTAACCAACTCAGCAGCTGTCCCTGGATAGACTCAGGACAGAGAGGCTCTTTAGCTGTTCTCAGTGGAGCTGGAACTCTCTACCTTGTGGGTAGGCAGGGATGTAGCTTCCTGGTTACCTCTTCAGGCAATTCAAATTCCTTCTCTCCCAGACTAATCACCTGCTCATTCTCCCCATTGAAATAACAATATAGCAGATGTCACTTCCCTCACTTATCATGACATTTAACAGCATCACTGTTTGTAGTGTTTAGAATATATCTACAACTGAACATTTATTAACATTTCATTAAACTCTCAGCAATGTAAGAAAGATACATCAGTATTCTAGACTGTGATGAAAATGGTTTTAAGGCCTTGACTCTAAATGTTAGAATCCTAATGAAAGCCAGTATGACCAATTCCAATCCTGAGCTTTCAATCCTTTAGTTCTTACTTAGTATTTGTCATTTTCCATATGTCCACAATTAGATAATAAGCTAAATATTATTAAAACATTCTTTAGGCTGTAAAATCAGAATGAACCTGACAGAGGCCAAACCTGAATTGATTGCACTGGTGTGTTGCTATTTTAAGTATGTATTTTATCCCACCAGGTTATTTCTTTAAAGATTTATTTATTAACGCATACTAGAGCTGACGCACAGGCCTGAGGTGTTGGGGGGGCGGTGGAAGGATTCACCTGAGACAGAGTGGGGAACAGAACAGGCAGACTGACTGGAATACACTGCTAAGGGAACAGTGGGCGAGATAGGAGAGGTGCTGTGCCATGTAGGTTGGCTCCCTGGCCAGCCATGGATTGAACTTGTGCTGCAGAGGCTGAGGATAGCTCACAGTGCTGTGCTTAACCCTTTGTGTCCCGAGGGAGGCCAGGAGTCATCTATTTTCTATTTAGGTTGCTTCTGCAGGAATTTTCCCATATCTGCCCATTATCATTTATAAGCATTTTGATTGTGTAATCTTACCATTTTTATTGGTGTTTTTATTATTGTATTACACTAAATTGCATTCAAGTAACCAGTCTGTGTAGCATAGATCTACAGATCTACAGATCTACAGATCTACAGATCTACAGATCTACAGTTCATTCTTTCAATCTGACTAGTCTTATTCATGACTACCATAATCCATGTAGAAAATGTGTTGTGAACTGCATTTTCTTTACTTATTAATCGCTTATATTTTCACTTTTCTATTAAATTGGTCTGTTTGAGGGCCTCCCCAGTAGCCCAGCGGGTTGAGAGCAGTGCTGTGAAGGTGACCGCAGCCTCCGCAGCACCGGTTCAATTCCTGCCAGCTAGGGAGAATCCCAAATGGGGAAGCAGACCTCTCCTGTCTCAGCCGTTGCTCCACTCAGCAGTGTATTTCCTCAGACTTGCTGGTCTGTTCCCCACTCTGTCTCTGGTGAATCCTCTCACCCTCCCACAACTCTGGCCTGTACCCCACCTCTTGTATAAATAAGAAAATAAGAAATTAGAAAAATAAATTGGTCGGTTTAAACTCTTCTAGTCTTCCCCACTTTAGTGATTTTTTTGGCCAGCCTCATCTGTCAGTTATGGAGGGAAGAACGTTAACATGTTTTAGGATGATTGTAGAGTTTTCCCTTTTGCTTTGCTTATGGTGATATTTGGCACTGTTTACTTCGTGGTTATATAGTGCATGCATGTTTGCAAGTTTGAATTTTTCCTATGAAATGTATATTAATTGATTAGGTATCTCTTTTCTCCCTTAATAATACTTTAATTTAATACTATTTGATAAATGTAGCAGCTATATGACTATATAATCTATCTTTCCGGTCTCAAGTTACGGTTTCACTATAAACAATAGGTAATTACAAAAGTCCAGCGGATCTTTCCCCTTTCAGTATGATTTACTTTAAATTTTGATCTGTGCACTATGGCTATTTTGGATTGTTCATATAACATGAATTGAAAATCTCACTTCCAGAAGAGAGTTGCATGAGGAGTTCTTTCCAATGGTGACAACAAGAGTGATGAACAGGGAAGTATCCAGGAGTAGGAGGTGGTAGGGCCATGGCCACCCGGGGCCTGTGTGGCAGGGTAAAGAGCCATGAGCACGGGTTCGTGTGAACAGCAGAGATGACAGAGACCTGCCATTGCAGGCAGTGGAGAGGGACTTGGGTCCTGATGACTTCAAGCTCTGCTTTTGTTTGCTCCCTGGGCTCCCCCAGTTCTTCCCTTTGACTGAAGCGAACACAAGTCAGAGGGGCGGGAGGATGATCATTAGGTCCACAGGGTCAGCCTTCAGTTCTCAGCCGTGGTGCAGCTGATCGTGTTTAACACCGGAATATTTTGGAGGTTCACTTCTTGCTACAACATCCTGTTATCATTGTTGCTTTGTAATTACACTCCTGGCCAGAGTCACACTTAAGAAATTATACTCCTGTTGCCTCCCTGGTGGCGCAAGGGATAAAGAAGCAACCTATGAAGCTGTCTGCAGTCACTGCAGCATGAGTTTGAGCCCCAGCCAGGGAGCTACCCACATGGTGCAGCAGACCTCTCCTGACTCATCCGCTGCTCCCCTTAGCATGGTATTTCAGTCAGTCTGCCTGTTCTGTTCTCCACTTTCTCTCTGGTGAGTCCTCTCACCCATACTCTTCTGGCCTGTGCCCCAATTCTTGTATGCATAAATAAATAAACCTTTAAAAACAAACAAATTACACTCCTGGCCAGCATCATGCTTAAAAAGATCATTATTTTTTTTATTTTACTTATGTTCGTCAGATCGTTTCGATGTGCATTATTCCAGCATTAATTATATCACTTTTTACTCATCCCTGGGACAAAATGAACTATCATCTGCAGCAACATAAAAGACTTCATACAAAAATTCATGGTCTGAGAGGTGCTTTGAGGGTGGAATAGAATACTGGGATCTGAGGTAACTGTTTCAATAACAAAATATGGCAGGACCTATGTTATTTTGCTTTCTGATAATGGGTGTGAAAGGTTATCACTAAAAATGGGGATAAGCTACTTTTTTGCTTCAATATTCCATGATCTTGGTGGCCCTACACAGGGGATAAGCGTTGTGGAGAGGACAGCGACCACTATGGTTAGTCAGTCCCTTGCCTTCTCCAAGGGACTGAGTTGGTGATGGTGACAGTGATGGAGAGGATATTACTTCCATTTATTGCTTACTTACCAAATACCAGGAATTTCTCCAAGCAGTAGGGTGCATGAGCTCCTTCAATCCTCCCCACCATTACTGTGGCGGGTATGATGATGTCCTACTATAATATGCAGAGTCTCAGAAAGTGACTCACAGAGCTAGAAGAAGTAGGCAGCACCTGAATCCTGGAGGTTGTACTTGAAGTGCACTGTCTTCTCAGCATATAAAATGTGCCTTTCTTTTTATCAGTCAGCGTGACTCTGGACCCAGACACAGCTCATCGTGATCTAATGCTGTCTGAGGATCGGAGATATGTGACCCGTGGAGGCAGCCAGAAGGAGTATTTCAGTTCTACAAGATTCTGTTCCTTACCCTGTGTCCTGGGCTGTGAGGGCTTCACCTCAGGAAGACATTACTTTGAAGTGGATGTGGGAGAAGGATGTGGGTGGGACTTAGGAGTTTGTCTGGAAAATGTGCAGAGGGACAGTGTCTTGACCCCAGAGCCTCAGTCTGGCTTCTGGGCCATCAGACTCTGCCAGAAGAATGGCTACATGGCCCTTACCTCTCCCCCAACACCCCTTCCATTGAGGGAGTGGCCCCGGCTGGTGGGAGTTCTTCTGGACTGTGAGGCTGGACTTGTGTCCTTTTACAACATGAATACTGGCTCCCACATCTTCACCTTCCCAAGGGCCTCCTTCTCTGGTACTCTTCGGCCTTATTTCCAGGTTAATCATTCTTCTTTGTTCCTCCCTCTACCCCTGGGGTCAATTTAAAAGAGACTCTTGTTTCCCATTGTAGAAATACAACGTCAGTCCTATTAGGACAAAAGTTGGTCTGTTTTGTCATCTGCTGTTTCCCTTTACCTGGACTGGCGCTGAGTTCTCAGTGGACACTCAGTGAGTGCGCCATGACTGCTGGACACAGCCACTGTGCAGACAGCACAGAAGATCAGCCTGACCTGCAGGGAAGTGAGAGAACAGCAGGGTCATCCCTCATGCTCTCCCCAGTCACTGGGTCAGATCTCTGAGCTGCCAGGGCCTGGTCTCACGCTGGGTGTCTGACCATTTCATTTCATGTGAAGTTTTCACACCTCATCCATGTTGTCGTTTGGGTCAGTATTTGGTTTTGTTTATGGACAAACCATTGCAGTGCATGGATGTCATGCATTGTGTGTGCCCATTCATCAAAGGATGGACATTGGTTGTTTCCACTTTGGGGAGAGTTCAAATGATGCCACTGTGAACAATTTTGTACAAGTTTTTGTGTGATTATGGTCAAATTTGTAGCTTTGTACCTAGGAGTAGAATTGCCACTTCCTGTGGTATCTTGTTCAACTTTTTAAGGAACTGTCTGTTTTCCCAAGAAGCTACAACATTGTATATGCTCACAGGCCATGTATGACATTCCAATTTCTCTACATTTTATTGAGGGTATTTTTCAAGGGAACTATGCTAATGGATGTTAAGTGCTATCTCCTTGAGATTTTGTTTTCTTCTGGCTTTTGCATTTTCCTAATAACTGGTGATGGTGACACCTTCTTGGCTAATTGTGTGTCTTTTTGGAATAATCTCTATTCACAAACATTGCCCATTTTGACTGGGTTATTTGTATTTTGGTTTGTAATAACTTTTTATGCTAATCACAGTTCTAGGTATGTACCTTATCAGCTTAGTAATTTTAGAAACTTTCTGTCATTCTCTGAGTTATCTGTTTACATTGTTGCTGGAGTCCTAAGAAGCTCAACTCGGTATCCTTGTTATATTGAACTTTTATTACTTGTGTTTTGGGTGTCATCCAGATAACCATTGGGAACCCAAGGGAACAAGAGTTTTTCCCTCTTTTCTTCCAAAAGGTTTTAACCATTTCAGTTCTTACACTTAGATCTTTTGTTCATTTTGGGGACTCCAGTGATCTGTCCGCTCCGGTTCTTTGAATTTCTCCATCCTACACTCCCTATACACAGGAGGGGGTGCACGAGGGAGGGGCTTTCTCTGGCCTCCCCTGCGCTGTCTCAGCACATCACACACATCACCTGAGCACTGGGCTTTCCCTATTTCGGGACATGTCTCTGAAGGCTCTTCTGTGTCCCCACCCCTCTCAGCCCTGATCGCTGCATGATCCCCTCCTTCACACAGTGGGTATAGGAGGGCAGTGGTCACAGGACAGGCCCTGTCATGAGCTTGTCTTTGTCTGGCTGCTGCTGTGTGGGGGTGGTTGATCCCCTGTGGGGTCGCTCAGCTCCTTTCCTGGTCCAATTGTTAGGGGGAAAAGGATGTCCTAAAGCTAATTCCATACAGGCTTTGTGGACTCCACCCCCACCCCAGGCCAAAGCCAAAGACACTGGGAACTCCAAATCCTATCACCACCAAAGGGAAGGTGGCTGGGACCTGAGGGTGGGGTTAAGCAGCCAAGTTGGTATAAAGGCAGACACGTGGGCTTTTGGGGGGGGGGGTCCCCCATTTTGGCTTTCTGCCAGCTAGCAGGGTCCGGCCAGCTCTGAGAGTGACTTTTGGTTTCCAGGTCGGCGAATCGGATAGGACGCATTAAAGACTTTATTTCCCTATTTTCTCCCTGAGTTGTACATTTTCCTTATTTCCTTTTCCCATGTAAATAAACCTTTTATTAACCTTTTGTGTGTGCCTGTAGTGGAGTATTAATAAGTCCTTTTTAAGCGCGTGGGTGAGGACCCACAGCCAGGAACCTGTTCAATATCGGGGCTGTCCTATAACACTTGTCAAGACAACTCAGGATGAGCTGTGCCCAGTGCAGAGTCTCATCCATGACAGTGATGGTAGAGGGAGATGCAGGGTCACTATGGGTTCAGGAACCCAGGGATACATTCTCATCTGTCAGGAGCTGGATGCCTCAGGAGCTGGTGTGTCCAGTTCCTGTATGGGGTCTGCCTGCAGGCTGTGCCAGGATAAGATGAATCTTCAGGTGTGAAATGGCTGAGACTCTGGGAGCATCCAGGAGAGTGCAGGGACTGAGAGATTCCTCCTGGGTGGGAAGAGAGGAAGCTGGGCCACCACTGGGATCAGCAGCTTGAGAGCCTGAGCAGCTGGACTGTCTTGGCTAGGTTGTTCCTCAGCTCCTTTGCAGGTCAGCTGCCCTGACAGACCCCCTAGGGCATTCAGATCAGCACCAAACAAAGCACCTGACCCAGGATCTAGCCAGGGACTCTAGAATCCCAGTTCACTCCCTGGCTCCTCCTTCACCCTACCAGCTCTCAGACACTGCAGAAGTGATTTCTTTTATAAATACTTACTGTGCGATTATCAGAAATGCCTCTTCCATCCTAGGCTATCAATATGGCAAGGGACTATGCTGCCTGCCTCCCAGCACCCAGGCTTGCCGCCTCCCAGCCTGCTCCTCTGCTCCCCTGCTTAAGCATTAAAGGCCTGTCAGATCTACCTAGGACTCCAAATTCCTTTCCCCCTCCTGAATAACAATGAACCTGGCTGGTGCTGCCAGTTTCAGGACTTCTCCCAAATCTATCTGGCCCCGCCCCCAGGCAGTTACTTTCTGAGTTGACACCAGGGAAAGCAAACCACATGCAGGAGCTGGAAGTGGAGCTGCAGGGGGACTAGCAGCGATTTTGTTGCTGACTGCTCTGTGAGGAAGGGAGGATTGAAGAAGTCCAGGCCAAGGTTTGCTCTGGGGTGAACTGTAAGTTCCTTGTCTGCGTGTCTGTGTGTGTGTGTGTGCATGGGGTGTGTGTTCATGTGTGGGTGTGTGGGTGTGGTCCCTGGCAATAAGGAGCTCACTGGAACCTGAAAATGGTCAGGACATTGCTTTCCAGCTCTCTCTCCCTCTGCTTTCTCTTTCCCAGGCACAGTGCCACATCTCAGATCAGTGTGTGGTCAGCAATGGCAGGCACTTGGGGTTCAGAGTGTTGTAGAGCAACCCCAATACAAAACAGGGTGCCTGACTGTGGGTCCTCACCCACGTGCTTAAAAGGACTTATCAATGCTTTACTCCTAACAAGAGGACCAGCAGACACAGGAGCACAACCCCAGGCATAAGGAAGGCTGGTGCAGCCCCTGGGAGAAATCCCCTCCGTGGGAGAGCAGTCTGCAGAGACGTGCTCTGGCTCCGAGGGCTAGTCCTGAAATAGAAGGAAATAATCTATCCAGCTTTGTGTTGTATTGTTGTTACAGAGCAACCCCGATATAAAAACGGGTTGCCTGACTATGGGTCCTCACCAGGGCGCTTAAAAGGAACTTATTAATACTCCTCTGCAGCAGGCACACACAAAAGGTTAATAAACGGTTTTATTTACAAGGGAAAAGGAAATGAGGAAATGTACAACTCAGGGAGAAAATAGGGAAATAAAGACTTAAATGTGAACTACCCGATCCACCGACCTGGAAACCCAAAGGCACTCTGAGAGGTGCCCTACTGCTACTGTTATAGGACAGGGAGAGGGGCAGCCCAAACCCCGCAAACCTGCCTATTCTAAATGGGTTCTGCCATCCGCCGCATCAACACAAAACATATGACACTTTAATGGGAAGGAACTTTAATAAAACTAGGAAACAATACAGGTAAGGCAAAGAGTCTAGTTTCTAAATGAAGCACCCAAAGTTACCCATCCCCTCGTGGGTAAAACTCCATCCATATGGGGTCGGCCCAGAGCAAGGCCCCAAAGCCTGCCACAAGTCTAAAACATCTTCCAGTGGGGACCCACAGAAAAGGGTCACAAACAACCGGACAAGCCCGGAAGGAAAAGAGCAAAATCAACATCCAGATAAAAGCTGCCATTGTCACCTCCCCACGGGTCTCACCCACATCTGTGTCACCCAGTCCACGACCAAAAGACAAGCGCAGTTTCTTCACATGTCTCTAGGCTCCATGCGCCTCCTTCAGGTCTCCTGGCTCCATCCTGCTTCCTTCCTCAGTCTCTTCTTCTGCTTCTCCTCTTGCTGCTCAGCTCCACCCTCCCTTGGGTGGGGCAGGGAACCTCCCCCTTTCCTGGGGACCACCCTGTTGCACTACGAGCTGGCAGAGAGCCAAAAAAAGGGAACCCCCCACCCCCAAAGCCCACGTGTCTGGTTTTATACCAAACCTGGCTGCTTAACCCCACCCTCAGGTCCCAGCAACCTTCCCTTTGGTGGTGACGGGATTTGTCTTTCCCAATGTCCTGATGGCTTTGGTCAGGAGTGGGGGTGGAGTCCACAAAGTCCGCATGGAATTAGCTCAGGACATTCCCCCCTAACAGTATCTGTTTTCAGTCTAGGCCTGTGAATGCAAAGGAAAGGTCTCTCACTTCCTCCCTAATCTCCTCCCCACACACTCCCAGCAAGGGGAGGGCAATAGGGCTGGGAGCCTGAGCAGATGCAGCTGTGGGAAGGGCAGACCCTCTGCTCTGGTCCCTGCTCCTCTGTCTCCAGCTCTCAGTCCTCACTGGTGGACACTGGGGGGTCCAGGACAAGGACCCCACAGTGGACAGGCCTTGCCCTCTGCTTCCTGCCTCCCCATATCCTGGTTCTGCAAATTCCCGCTGCCTCAGGAACCCTGACCTTGTCCTGGGAGACCTGTCCTCCCCTGGAGGGAGACAGTCACCTCCCTTGTGCTTAGGGACTCTGCTCCCAGAACCAACTCCTGTTGCCACCCTCTGCAGCTCTCCTGCTGTAGTGTGATATAAAACTGGATTAAACTGCAGCCCCTTTTTCTCTGAGGGTTTTAGTGGGTCTTGAGTACCAGATGTCGGGGTGTGAGTAGAATCAAGTGTACTGACCCCGTGCACTCTGCTCCCAAACCAATCACCTCTGTTGCTGGCAGGAAAAGAAGTAACTCAGAACTCAGAGCTGACTCCTCCCGAAGTTCATTTGACACAGAGAGACTATCACTCTCCCTCCCTGACTTCTCTTCTCTCCTACAACTTTCGCTAGCAAACCTGTCTGCCTTCTATCTCTACGAGTACCTGATCCAAGAACACTTTCTGCCATGAGGGAATGTTCTTTACTTGGATATCGTGGCACCATTGGCAGATATGAAGCATTGAATTATGGCTGGTAGGACTCCAACACAGAATTTAAATGTTATTTTGAATTTTAATCTAAACTGGGTAGGGAAAACGTGACAGGGATTACCCTGTTATACCACACAGGGATGTGTGAGGCATCTTTCAAATTGTAACCCACTTTCTTTCCAGAGAGAAGACTTCAACACCTGTGTAGGCTCAGAGGCTCAGGTGAGGCTTCTGGAAAATCATGGCTGATTCATCTCTGCCTATAGATACTTAGTAGAACTTTGAGGAAGAGCCATGGCCTCACTGCCAGCGATAAGGAAGATGAGGGAGGAAGCCACGTGCTCCATCTGCCAGGAGCTGATGAAGGAGCCCGTGAGCATCCACTGTGGGCACAGCTTCTGCCGCCAGTGCATAGACAATATCATTAGGGAAGGATATCCTGTGAAATCTTTTATTTGGAGGGCTCGCTGTCCCTTTTGTCAAACATCACTTCAAAGGGAGAGTGTCCAGCCCAACAAGCACCTTGAAAACCTCATAGAAACTGTCAAGGAGCTGGAGCGTGAGAGGCTGTGTGAGGAACACGGGGAGCAGCACCTGTTCTGTGAGGATGGACGACGGGCAGCTCATCTGCTGGCGCTGTGAGCGCTCCCCCCAGCACAGAGGACACAGCACGGCTCAAGCGGAGGACGTGTGTTTAGGTTACAAGGTGAGTGAGTGGCCAAACCTTTCAGCAAGTTCTTCCTCTTATGTTGCACCTTTTGACTGGAATTAGTTTAGTTAGTCTGAACACCAAGATTGTGACCCTAAGAATGTTGTTTCCATCATGTTATTTTCTGAATAATAGCTTATTATGATCCCGGTGAGTCAGGTCCTCATTTTATATGCCAAACTTTAAGGTTGGGCGGAATCTTCCTTGTAAGAACTTCCTATAATGAACTTAATAGATTGTGCTCTTTGTCACGCCTGTCTCGTTCATGGCCTCACCTCAAATCATAATTGGAGACACCACAGTGTGCAAGAGCACAGGACAGCATCTGAAATCCCAGAGGTCAGAACCAACACCTTCTTGATATCCCAGAGTCCACAAGGAGTAAGAAAAGGAACTCAGGACGCCTGACGTCCCTCGGTGTGGGTGGTGAGGGGGGCACTAGGGGCAGGAATGAATGTGTGAGGGGGAGACTGCCCAGAAGTGAGTCCTGAAGGACACACACAATATCACCATGGGCAGAGTGTGGGTAATACACAGGAGCCAGATCAGGTGGTTCACTTGTCACTAGAGCTTGCCTGACTCTCGATGAGGCAGGCAGGTGGTGCGTGAGGGGAAAGGCCGATGCAGGCATGGGAAAGGATGTCAGGAAGGAACCTTGGTATCACTCGGAATCCATACCCCTGCCCAGAGTGGCCTGGACACTAGGGATTTATTTGTGGAGGGAAAGATCAGGTTGACATGTAAAAGCACATTCTGCGTGGACAAAATAAACAACAAGGACAAAATCTAAGGATTGGAAATGGCAACAGGTGTGAGCATACACTGGGAAGGGGAGTTAGGGTTTAAAAATACTTGGTGCGAGGGATGAAGCCTTGAGAGACGTTTCAATCATTTCCTATGTTTTTGACACAATAGCTTTTAGCATAAGGGTCCCTTTGCTGC